GTCTCCTACCCCAACCCTGCAGGAGACGGGACCTCCATTTATTTGTCCCTAACCGAGAAGACTAGAATATCTAACCATTTCTTGATGTTATAGAAAGGCAGCAAATTCTTCTCAATTATTTTAAGACCCTGAGTGTTGGTCCGGCTGGGGCTCAAACCCTCGACCTCCGGCACAACAGTCCAGCGCTCTATCCATTGAGCTAACCGTGAAGTGGTTGATAAGAACCGGGAGGCGGTTGATCAATTGATAAGAATAGCAAATTTGCTCCAGATAATTCCTTTGTTGTTGTTGTATGTTCTTTAGTTTCTAGAATAAACTTTGTAATAAGCTTCTTTCTCCTTTGTGAAGGCATTGAGGATGAGTCACGAAAATTATATGGTGTCCAATTTCATCCAGAAGTTGATCTCACAGAAAATGGTGTTCTCATGTTGAGAAATTTTCTCTATGGGGTAAATATTAAGCTGCCTGGCAGCTTTTCCTTTGATGAAATGATTGTGGGAAAGACAGCCCTTTCCTGGTCTTTTTTTTTTTTTGTTTCAAAATGATCTAATAATAAATGCTATTTTTCATTTTTTCTTAATTTTCACTAGGTTGCCGGATGTTGTGGAACATACACTGTGCTCAGTCGAGTAGACACTTGTATTCAGCAAATAAAAAAAAGTGTTGGTAACATGAATGTTTTGGTAAGTAGACAGGGGTGCTTAACCTTTGTCTCAGTTGAACACAAATCAGAATCCGGCGTTTGAAACAGAAAAAACTGGTTGCCAATAGAACTAGTCACCTGCAAGAATGCAATGTTATACTTCTTTAGACTGTCTTCAGATATTGAATTCTTCTTAATATCATGACAGAACAGAAACCGTATGCACTGTAAGTACCTACTGTTGTCCATTATAAATCTTTAGAAGACTGTACTAAAGATTTGTGGGGGACAACAGGAGGTACTTACAGTGTGTGCAGTTTCCATCCTGTCATGGTATGGTACATCTTCAACAAATTGATTAATTTTTAAATTCAGATTAATATATTTTGTTTGAATGTTTGTTTGGTTTTTTAGGCGTTAGTGAGTGGAGGGGTAGATTCAACCGTTTGTGCAGCTCTGCTTCATAAGGTAATTTTGCTTTTTGTTTCGTTATTATATACATTCCATTTTGCTGTGGGGCTGTAAAGTAATAAATCACAGAAGATGTCAAAATGTGCTAAGAACATCAGTGATGCAATCAGCTATGCCCCTTGTGCCACTTTTTAGTTCGTGCCACATTTTGGTGTCGTCTGTAACCTATCATGGAACAGGCACACAGCAACATGTATTCTTCCTGTTACTTTACGCTATTTAACTGGTTCTTCACTTCTTATTGAAAACCCTGGTGAATTACTGTGTATTGAAACTGATTTTGCAGGCCCTTCGTCCTGAGCAAGTTGTGGCAGTACATATTGACAATGGATTTATGAGGAAGAATGAGAGTCAAGAAGTGGAGGAATCTTTGAAACGATTAGGGCTTAGATTAAAAGGTAACTTTTGTTAGTATTGGTGTGAGACGCAGTGGCCCAGTGATCAGTGTGCTGAATCTCTCCAGGGCGAGACTCCAGGTGCGAGACCCTGTCAAGTCAATGTGTTGGCTTCTTTACTCTCACGGTGGGTCTCTCTCCCCTGAGGGGTATATTTGGGTACTAATGAATGGTCGGGGAAGCCTGGGGAGTAATCTTTTGATGGACTAGCATGCCATCCAGGGGATAAGTAATACTTCTAGTCACTTCATGCTAAGGAAACCAAGATAAGCTTTGCCTGGGTGAGCCACTAGGCTTTAGAGCAGATTTACCTTACCGTTTTAGTTAGTGTTGAGTAAAACTGTAACAGTAATCTGATTGAGGTATTACCTCCATGACCAAGCTTTTTTTTTTTTACTTGTTGGGTTGGTTTTGGAGATGCTGGTATTTGTACAGGAAAGAGAACTAGAGAACTTGACTGAAACTTCTAGAGCAAGGTCAAGAACCAATATCAGAGTTAACCCAATGTTGATGTCAAGTTTAGGAAATGAACACTTGGGCCATTGCACAGTGTCACGAGACAATGAGCTTCATCATTGTGCCATCCAAGCTCACTCAGTTCTCTCTGTGTTGTTTAAATTATGTGGGTGTCAAGGAATTCTAGGTAATTTCGCCACGCTAGGACAACTTACTTGAATGTACATTGAAGGTGAACCTACACCTGTGACTGTCGTTGATGGAGAATACCTGAGATCACCCCGTCTCTTGTTTTGTTTCATCTACAGTTGTAAATGCTGCGTTGCGATTTTATAACAGCACAACCGTAATATCCGGTAAAAAAGACCAGTCCCCTGTTAAGAAACAGGTCACAAAAACCTTGAATGTGACAACCGACCCTGAGGAAAAAAGAAGAATTATAGGAGATACGTTCATCAAGGTCAGTCTCTTTTGACACGATTTGTTTGAGAGTGAGGTTGATTGTGTAGGGGGAGCATGGTAAAGAGGAAGACTCCCTATAGAGGGGGGTCCATTGGAGAGGAGAGCTCTCTGAAGAAGGGGCGCTTATTAGGCAGGAGCACTTGTTAGAGAGGGGGTGTAGCCGTTACTTGAGAGGAGGTGCTACTCTTGTAAAGCTTCGAGGTTAAGAAAAAAACTCATGGAGTGCCACAATGTCTGCAAACTATCATGAACACTATACATTTTACAGAATTTGTTTGCTAGGAAAACCCTAATCATCTAAATCTGAGGCTTTCAATAATCGTTCTTCAGGGAAAGTGCCAGTATATGGAGCATTTCTTTTGACATCTTCTATGGCATGCTACCTCCTTTTTTATGTTTGTGTTATCAACAGACTTTACGGTCAGTGCGCTTTATTTTTCGACTTTGAAAAAAGCATAGTTTTTGTTTTAGAATTTGATAATATAGTCATGAATTTTTTTAATTATGCATTTGATTTAAGGTTGCCAATGAAGTGTGCAAGGAGTTTAACCTTGATGAGACCAATACATACTTGGCACAAGGTTAGCGGTACAATATACTAGACATCTTATTGGTTGAAAAGTTCATTAGCACACAGATTTCGCCAAACCTAAAATCAAAGCTCCAGGTGTTTTGTTTTGTTTGTTATTTTGTAAGTCATTTTGTTCAGTGGTGTTATTTTCCACTGCTTTGGGAGGTACATTTCATAATTGTTACATGATAGCGGACCCACAGACGCACCTAATGCCATGACGTCACGACCACATTTTCTTGGCTCGATGACCTAACATATTCTGACAGCTATGGAGCTCCACATTTGAGCGACTGCTTTCAAACATAGTAGTGCAGACGGCTCTTTACAGAAGACATTGGCGGCAATTCCACAGAATTTGCTACGGTTTAATTTGTTTTCTTGTCTTTTTTTTTTTAATCGTAAACATATGCAGGTACCCTTCGACCCGATCTTATTGAAAGTGCTTCATCCCTGGCTAGTAACAAGGCAGAAGCCATCAAAACTCACCATAATGATACAGACTTTGTGAGAAGTTTACGAGCACAGGTAAGGCGAGGTCAACAGCGCTCAGGAAATAAATACAACTTACTTGATGATAAGATGATGTTGCGTTGGCCGGTGGGCCAATTATTGGTGAAGCCAGGACTGTTTCTTTGCCTCGCTCCCAAACTCTGCCTTTGAAGCAGGTGATTTTGGGCGGTGCTGGTGCCCAGTCCACCGTCCAAAACCGCCAGAGAAACAAACCGGGCTCTAGCCCAGAGAGCATGGGTTTCGAATCTCGTCGGAGTTAAAATTTCTTTCCCTGAAATTTCTTTACTCTGCGTTCATTTGTTAAACGTAATTGGTTATCGTAATTGGTTATTTGCCAATATCAACCTTTATTATTTGCCAATATGTATACAGGAGACATTTTTGGAAGTTTACTCTCTAGGCGTAAGAGTCTGAATCATTCACACTTTCTCTTTCAGGGAAGAGTCATTGAGCCCTTGGTAGATTTTCACAAAGATGAAGTCAGAGCGCTAGGAAGGGAGTTGGGTGTACCATCAGACATTGTTCAAAGACATCCCTTCCCTGGTCCTGGTCTAGCTATTCGTATCATATGCGGTGATGAGCCTTATCAAGGGAGCGACTTTGCAGAAACGAATATCATCCTGGGACAGATTGTAGATTTTGTTACTGCTATTAAGAAAGTGAGTCGCTTCTTTTTTAAGAGTCGTTTGTATCAACCTCGATGGGTCTTGATAGTTTAGACCAAAGAAGTAATCTTCCAACGAAATATTACACGCGTTTTGACCCCGAGTCAAAGAACAGAGCGCCCAGCCACAAGCTCGGAACATAGAGATTGAATTTCGGTCATCATAAGGAATTGAACCTTAGATCTTCAGATTCCGGGCTCTGAGGCTGTGCTGTTGAGCCACAGAGACTCTGTCACTGTGGCGAGTTACTCCTTTCCGAGTTCATATGTGAAGCGCGTCTCGCAAACTGCTAGGATCAACAAGGTCGAAACTTCAAGATGTTAGTAATTACAATGAGAAAGATGACAAATTGTGAGCTGACCTGTCATCACTTGTATTCTCCATACTGTTCTCTCTACATTTCCTAACTGAGGTGCTGACAAGGAGAATTTGTTTAACAATCAAGTGCTTCTTTAGTTGGTGATCATTTTCGTCATTGTCATGACCTTAATGTGTGAC